ATTCAAAATAAAATAGCATTTTATCTTAAATTCTGTCTTGCACAAATGGAAAATTAGGCTGCATTGTTTATATTGCATTTTAATTTTCAAATTTGAATCAACATTTGAATATGCCCACTGGACAGCTGGGTATGAGTTTGAAAATTAAATATCAAATTGCATTTTCATTTTCACTCAACTAACACATCATATGTGGAAAACTAAAATTCTATTGAGGAATTAAATTTCAATTTTCAAGTTTACATAAAGTCCCCTTTAGGCTTCCACAGTAGGGTGTTTTCCTTTTGGACAGTTTGCAGTGAGTGAGTGTTTGTGTGCATATAATATGTAACAACATTTATGTCATCAATACACATTATTCTGCATGGTGGGTTTCTTCATAGAATTCATTTTCTATTGCAATTGCTTTTATAATTGCACAAGGGCGCACACAATAGGCAAATGTCTGGACATTTTGCTGTGCAATGATGAGGGCAGAGGGCAGTGAATGGCTCTTGTAAATCATAGCAGATGAGACCCTTTTCAGCAGGTTATTGTGTATTTTAAAACATGTGAAATTGACATCAGATGAAAAGGAGAGTAGGAGAAAAGAGAGAGGTGCAGATGACAATGACGACAGACACTAGACTGGACACAACATTAGCTGAATTGACCCTGTGGTAATTAGTCCTAATATGTATCCATTTGACATTTTAGTAGCAACAAAATAAATCTTTTCCCCACATAAGGTTAGTCCTTTCAGGCTTCAGATAGCATTAAGGGGTTATTGTGGGACACTAAATTTCTGCACTCACGTCAGCAACACCTACTGTATTCTAGCAAGGTTAGCAGCACTTTGACGCACCATGACGCATCCCATCTGTTAGATAGAGGGGAATTTAGGAAATGTTTAGTAAAGTATTACTATGTAAATAATACATATAGACAATTTACACATCCAGCAGACACGGAGGAAGATTAGCATTCATTTGAAGTTGTGTTATATGCTGCGTGATAAGGGCTTTTCAGTTGAAAACAGCTGCCTGCTACTGTATGTCTGGAAACAACGATAAGAGCAATGAGAGTGAACCGTAGCTATAATTGTAGGCTGTAAAATAAAATAAAAAAGCTCAGAACTTCAGAGTTGTATTAATAACACTCTCTACCAGGGGTCCTCAACTACTTTTCTTCAAGGGCCAGAATTTGTGGGGGATGGACTTTCAAATACATTTTTAATTAGCATATTATTGTTATATTGTAATATTTTGACTTTCACATGATTATGCTGCATATAACATATGTCTGCAAGCAGCTAAAGTGAAAGGAGTTGGTAACCTGGCTGAGGAAGTGGAGGTGTGTAACCTGTCGCCTGCAGCTCTTCATCTGAGGCCACATCCACACTACTAGAGTTTTAAAACGCATACAACCTCCATCCACACCAGTGTTTTAGCTGCGTATCAGAGTTGATCTCCGTCTATACTGTAACGACTCAAAACGCACATCTCGTGGCCATTCACTTACACTGGGCATGCGCCCGTTTTTAGTTTTTGAAAGTACATATAGTGCATTAGGCTGCAGTAATATTTAAAATGCAAATCCCCACTACCATCCCGAGCTAATCTTTCAAAATCTCTCATTTTTTATAAATAAAATTATATTAAAAAGGAATACTGCTTTTAATGTCAAACTGCAGCAGTAGAAAATAATAGCAGTAACTTAATACATTTTTTCCTGGAATTTCGCCACAGGTGCACAGTTCGCAATATACTGCGAATATATAAATATTGCAATACTTTCATCAGTGGCCATTCTGCATGCCGGATAGGAAGCTTTGGCAGGCCAGATGATGCACACGGGCCGCCAGTTGATGATCACTGCTGTATACGTTACAACCTCTTTGAAATTACACAAAGACATTTTATCCTTGTTGTGAAAATATTGATTAGTAGGTGAACATATTGATTAGAGGAGCTTCAAACAACAGTCAGTACTGGAGTGACTGCAGCAGAACAGATACATGGTGTATCAGTGTTGCTCACATTTTAGAGCTCTGCAGACTATGTACTCAATAATGTACATGTGCTGTCCTGCGTGTACCACTGCAGAGAGCAGTGCAATATAATATCATTTTACTTCCTGCAGATGATAAGGGGTTTCATGGCTTGTTTACAAAATGTACTTTCTCTCTCTTACACTCTCAACTCCCCCACCCTCAAGATGCCCTCCCAACATGTCTACCCATCCTGCTTGTTCTCTCTGTGGGCCCATTAATACCAGCATGGTGCTTCTCTTAAGTATGATTAGTAGCACTCCATAGACCATCAGCAAACAGCTTATCAACAGAGAGCCATGAATGTTACATGGACATGAATATTGCTAAAGCATCTAAATAAAAGTTTCATCTCCCCCACCCTCGTTCTGTTTCTGTCTATTTGGTCTGTGTGTTAATCAGTGTTTGTCACTGCAAAACCTTAATTATGGTTTCAGCCCTCTCCCATGATCCTCCACAGATGACTATTCATCTCCTCATCCAGTGCCCATGTTTTCATAGATAACACTTCTTCTCTCTTTCCCGTCCCTTTTGGTCTTCTCTGCTTTTTATCTCTCTATATCTATTCATTTATTTGTCTTGATTTCCCTCTGCTTGTCTGTAACTTGTAATCTTCTTTTGCTTTCTATCTCTTTATATATTTTCGCACTCCTCTCTCTCTGTAATGACTTTCTGATGGTTCATATCAGCAGTTCAATGGGGCAAAGACAGTCAAAGGACTGCAGCCATTACATTTAAATACGGAAGGAGGACTGTGAGGGGGAGAAGGATATTTAACTAGATGAGGAAATGACTACAGATGGGCAGATGAAAAGAGAGAGGGAGAAAGAGAGGGAAGTGATTCCTCATATAATCCTTTATTAAAGAACAAAGTCAAGTTTACTTTAAGTAGACCAAACAGAGAACTGAGAACTTTTTCCCCATTCTCTTTTTTCAAATAAAACACAGATTTGTATTTGGTTTAAGTTTTCCTCTGAAAACCATGTCCTCTAAATGTTCTCATCTAAGCACCAGCATGTATTACATGGGTGCATATCAGAGGCTCACTGAGAACTCTGATTACAGCTTGCTTAAAAGGAAGACTGTAAAATTGGCTGAACAGCAGCCACTGTGGCCACAGACATTTTCACATATAGGAGGAATTTTTTTTATTTTTCTATTGCCTCTGTTGTGAGAGAGAGTTGGGAAACATTGGGGGAGAGAGGGGAGGAGTCGGACTGTGGACGATGCAGTCACTTGGCATATGCTCTAACCATTAGGCCATAGGACTGCCCTGGTAGGAGTATGTGTACCATATATCCATTTCCGCTTTATGATGTGCGCTGTGGTGGCAAACAGGATGGACTGTTGGTGAAGTCGGAAGTCCTAGCAAGTTATGCTGAACTGGCACATGTGAATGTCCTGCCTGTTCACACTGAAGCACCACAACTTGGGGCCAGCTCACCCGGGAGGGTGTATGAGACCACTGACAATGCCCCACCCCCATCCCCTCCTTTTTGGCCTTGTTAAAGTGAAGAGCATCATAATAAAATTATGTTGGCCTGGAGGCCCATATCGAGGTCCAGGATGGCAATGCAAATCTGAGCCATTCACACATGTACTGGCAGGTTCAAGGCCAGCTGGCATGTGCTAGACTGGAATGGTGTGACTTTGACACAGACACCAAGACAGATTTAAGAGAATGATGGCGAGGCCATGTTAGACGTACTATTACAAGACCTACATGAATGTGCACCTCACACTAGGGCTAAACACTGTATTTTTTGTAGACTGTCTTGATATTTAATGTAATAGTAGTTCCCCTAGGACTTTTGTTATTGACAATGTTTTAAATATGTTTTCATGATATTGTTATGCTGCCCCTTCTGATAATAAAAAAATGACTACCTGGGACTAGACAATGTGGCCAAAAATGTTATCACAATTAAAAAGTTTCATATCTTTTTATATCGATAATTAAAGTATGAAATCATTATTTCTTTCGAGTATAAAGGCTGATTTTTCTCCCGAGTGAAAGTTGAAGAAATCTGATGGTTAATTGTGGTTTAAACTTGTGTTTATAGTCAACACTTGAGGTCAAACAGCGGATCACTTCACAGATCTGAAGCAGAACATTCAAAACAATTATGATAAAATCTTTGTTAACAAATATGCACAAGTAAAATTAAGTCCTTTTTCCTCAACAAAATAAGCATCTTAATAAAAAAACTAAATCCTAATTCGTGTATGATTCAAGTGAATAAAATCAAACATTTATTGAATATTTATTGAACATTTGTTTTACTGTTGTTGAAAAAAATGATATTGCGATAATAATTGTTCTTGTTATTGCCCTAAGACTATCCCTACCTAAGATCCCCTTACTAGCTTTCTTCTAGAGCTTTCAACTGCATCGCACGCTCTTCATCAGCAGATGGTGTTTGATCAGCTGTCAAACAGATTGATCTGTTGACATGTAAGCTCAGTAGTTTTTATCCTCTTCATTGTTATCAGTTGTTATTATATCTGAAGCTTCAGGGACATGTTTGACAAGCAGTGTGTCTGCAAATATTAACTGTTCCCGCCTCACTGTCAGTCATTTTGGATGAAAGCTTTAAGTCAGTGAGTAAACGTTGTTTTGCCTGCTTTTTTAAAAATGTGGTGACGGGCTTTCATTGTGTTTTCTTACTGTAGACTTTATTTCAGAGACCCTAGTTCACCTCCAACTTAGGGTGGAGTTTAGTTCATTTTATGAAGGCCCTGGTTCAATTTGAGCGATCACACATCTGCAACAAATGCTGACTGCTGCTAAAGTCCGAGGCAACGAACAAAGACACGAAGAGAGAAAGTGTTAAATAGATCTTTATATCATTAAGGCCATAAATGACACGGCCGCCACATGGCTCGCTACAGAGGAGGAGGGAAGTTAGCGGAATGTGGGAGAGTGGTTGAGGGGAGTAGGGTGGGAGGCAAGGAGAGATAACAAGACGAAGTGTTTACAGACCTTTTTATTTTCCCATCATCCTCGGCAGTGGAAACGAGAACATCCACCGTCACCGACAACAAAAGGGACCAAAACATGTAATCACAGCCTGTCAGGAGCATAATAAAGTCACATTTATTAATATCTACACATGCACACAACCAACAATAACCACCACAAACACACCCCCACAGGGATATCTTAAGACATTACAAAACACCTCATTTATTTATTTATTTTTAAAAAGTGCTGCATTAACAATTGCCCCAGCTCTAAAAGCATGTAGCAACAGTACACTTACCCACAATGCAAATACATGCACATTATCTTTCTGAATTCCGTCACACACACGCTATTGGCATCTATATGTTCCCAGTCAGGCACTACCTACCATACATCCAGTAATGAGTTTTCTATGTGTTCATGAGAGATGATAATAGCATATTGCATCTGTCTCCCAACACAAATGTACCTGCTGATGTATGGATTTTAATTAAGCGTGATGATCAGGGATGGTAATATGTATGTGTGAGCGCAATCACAATTAGACTGTGCAGGGATAATGATACAGGCAGGAAAGGTCAATTTCCTCCACATTGTGTAAAAGAGAGAAAGACAGCAGGTGAGAAAGAGAGAGAAAGCGATCAGTGAGATGAAAGTGTAATTATCCCTGTGGGGAGACTGGGTCACCGGAAAAATGAATACAAGTAAGATTAAGACGAGCAGCATGCGTTCAAGATGATCCTAGCACTTACATCAAAATAACATTTTGACAACAATTATAAATAATGTTCTCAGTGTCAGTTTAAAAAGAGATCTTACTGTTGGTCTTGGCCTAGTGTATAACTGGCCCCTGTCCAGTGACTTTCATCACGAAAAGAGTTTACTTGTGTCTGGCTCTCTTTTGGTTTGCTGCACTGAGCCTGACATTGTTGATCCTGGATTACCGGTATCCCGAAGCGTGTTATGAAATGGCTCTGTTGTTTTTCCAATCCAGCCGTGAGTGAGTCCAAATGAAGGTAGAAGAGTTGTTAATTACAAGCAACATAAGATGAAACAGTGATGGTCACAGGTTCAATAGATTACAACATTGGTTTAACTATAAACACAGAACTAGCGACTTAAAACAAGAGAACACGATTAAAACTCTCCCTCCTTCCCTCCGAGGGAGTATGCATGTTTTCATTGGTGCAGCAGTCGTCCCTGGCACGTGTTCAGCTCTGTTCCGCTATCCTCACCGGCAGGCGCTGCTTGACTCTCAGCTGTCGCGGACTCTTCCTCCTCCATGCACCATAATTCCTCCACACTGTATGATATCTGATTCGAGCATTACGCTAATTAAAATGTTTTCTTCTATTTCTACAGGAAAATTGCCTTCTGTCATGGTCCTCTTTCGATGCAACTGTCCGTGGAATACTTCAATTTGTATTTCGAACAACAGCCCCAGTGCCAGCAAATGAACAGGGAGCTCTGCATGCAGGCAACATGGAGGAAAGTTAATTGTTGTTGATTTGCATAAACTACCCACACTGAAGTAATACAAAGCAGGTTAAAATACAAAGTTTCCCTTTAAGTGTGGGTATTACTATACGTCTTAAGTATACAATTTCCAGAAAAGTTGACTCCACAATAAGCTGGTGGTAACAGGTGAGGTGTCATGATTGGATATAAAAGTAGCATCCGCCAAAGGCTCAGTCTTTGCAACTAAGGATTGGTCGTGGCTCACCCCTTTGTGCCAGAATTTGTTAGAAAATTGTTCAAAGGGAACATTTCTCAGGCAAGTTTGCAGAGAATTTAGGTCTTTCAATATCAACAAAACATAATATTATGAAAAGATTCAGGGAATTTGGAGACATATCAGTGCATAAAGGGCAAGGTCAGAACCACTGTTGAATGTGCGTGAAAAATATAGCCATATACTGTCACTAAACACAATCTGCTGCTGCATCCAGACATGCAACCTGAGACTGTTGTAATTGTATGCAGAAATGCCACCCATCTCAGATGGATTGAAAGAGGGTAGAACTCTGTGCTGTGGTCCGTCCAGATTATTATCACTCAAAATCCAGTATCTGTTATGGTATGTGCGGGGCATCAATGCCCACAGCGTGGGTGAGTTGCATGTGTATGAAGGTGCTTTCCACCTAGGCATGGACTGGGACTTTAAAGAGACAGTTTTTTCCCATCAAGGCGACATCTCTTTCCAGGACATCCATGCTTATTTTAGCAGGACAATGCTAGGCCTCATTCTGCACAGGCTACTGTCTCCTATTGAAAATGTATGGCACATCATGAAGATGAGAATCAGACAACGGCAACCACAGCCTGTTGAGCAACTGATGTTTGGTATATAGCAAGAATGGACAAAAACTACCAATTGCAAATTAGTATCTACATTTGACAAACAATAAGAAAGTGTTATTTAAAGGAAAGGTGATGTACCACAATGGTAAACATGACTCTGCCCCAACTTTTGTTAAGTGTGTTGCAGGCATGAAATTCTAACATTGTTCATATTTATAGAATGTATTTACAATCATGCTGGTCAGTAAAACTACTGAAAATCTTTTCTCTTTGTCAGTTAAATGAAATTTCATGTGAATTAACATATCCCAGATTTTAGCTTTTATTGAATTTTGGATAATATCCAAACTTCATGAGTACTTTTGTCTGATGATCAACAAACTATTGTGAATATGCAATGCACATAAGACTTCTAAATGAGTGTTGCTGTAACCAAAGCAGAGAGCTGAAGACAAGTATTTTATGCCTGATAATTTTATGCCTGATAATTTTATGCCGGTCTATCTGATCAAAATGTTGCATATACAATCATGGAATTATTTTTCTAATTAAGACAACAGAAGGTATTGTTTTTCAGTACCATTTATCATCACAAAGTTGCCATGTGCTATTCTGAACGGCAACACTGTCTGGAATGAAAGAAACTTGGCACAATTATAATGCAGCAATAATCATCATTATGTATTAAAAGTCATAAACTCCCTTCATTTGTTAGAAGCTCCGTTTTAGACCAAGAGAGGAAACGCAACAACATTGTGATTCCATACGTGTCTGGAGTATCAGAGAAACACTGGAGGATTTTCAACAAACACAACATCCCTGTGTTTTTTAAACCCAAGAACACACTAAGACAGATGCTGGTACACCCCAAAGACCGCACACCCAAACACAAGAAAAGCAATCTAGTGTATGCGGTCCAATGCAGTGAGGAATGCACAGACCTGTATATTGGGGAGACTAAACAACCACTACACAAACTCAACAAGCTCAACACAGAAGGGCCAACTCCTCAGGTCAAGACTCTGAAGTCTACTTACATCTGAAGGACAGAGGACACTCGTTTGAGGACCACCAGGTGCACATTTTAGACAGAGAAGATGGATGGTTTGAAAGAGGTGTCAAGGAAGCATCTACACCAGGGTGAGAAACCGTCATTGAACAGGGGAGGGGGTCTACGCCACCACTTATCCCCCACTTACAATGCTGTCCTTTCATCACTTCCCAGGAAACTCAACAAACGTAACCTATTGGCCTCAGGTGAAGATACCAACGATGGTCGTTCAGTCTTGGCCACGGGTAGTCCTAACAACCAGGAACACTAACGAACCAGCAGTATCGATGACCCGGGCCAATGACCCCACTGAGGTTAAATAGCTGAGTTTTCCTACCTGTCAGTCAGACCTGAAGAAGTCCCTTGGATGAGGGACAAAACGTCTTCTAGTATCTTCAACCAATCCAGTTGCCCTTGACCTCACCTTTTGTTGGATTACATCTATGTAGATTTGTCAAAAGATGGATTTGCCTTTGACTTTTAGAATTTCGTTGCAATTGTGTGGACATGGATGATTATATGCAGTTGTATAATGAATGTATTGAAGCAAGATTATTACTCATCTCACTAGTTTTATGACCTCTTGATTTTTCATTTTGATCACTTGCTTTGTGTGTAATGCTATGGTATTCATGTTTCTGATAAAAACCAAGAGTGGCAACAATGAACAGAAAGAACCTCAGAATTAGGTGCAATTTTCAGCCTGTCTGTTTGTACGCCCAAAATCAAATAAAAAAGAAAGTAATTTTATTTACAGAGGACCAAAATAATTTATTTAAGTAAAAAGTCCCCTTATTTCAGATAAACTAATCCTGTCAGGACTTTAGCCACCTATGCACAGAGCAGGTGGATTCAGCCGATAGCTGTGATCCTGCATTGATTTCAACACTGAAAGCATGAAAGGAAGGTTTGGATTCAGGGAAGAGAAAAAGTAAAAAGGAGAAGAGTGAATATTTAAATGTATTCATTGTGAGAATCATGGTTCACCAAATACTGCATTTAAAAGCCCTGTGAAACCTTTATTTAGAGCTCACTTTCCTACTGAATGTGGGTTGACTGATGACATGTCCATATTTACATCAACAGCCCAAAGGACCAAATTAATTTCTGTAGTTAATTTTGGCATGTTGTGCCAGTATTTGCCACTGATGGTAAATCCACTGTGAACCTCTGTTGAGCCTCAGACATTTGGATCCAGGCTAATTTACATACATCTACATGTTAAATAAGAAGACTCCAGTAAGGGCAACAAATTCCTGAAAACTAATTATGAAAGCAATTTATTTTTGGTTTTATTTAAGACAAGCTCTAATTCAGTAACTGAGTGTCACACCATAGGTCACTGCAGCAATGTGTTCTATCATTTGACTCATTTGATTAACATGACTGAAGCTGTCAATAAGAGATAGATATGTATGAAGCGTAGAGGATAGAAACAGAAACAGTGAAATTAATGAGTTTCCAGTTGACTTAAAACAGTAATTGTTTTGTTGTTATGCCACTTGAGGGCAGCAGAACAAGTATAGCATGTATTCTAAAGTTGTAATGGCGAGTGCGTTAGATAACAATTGCCTATTTACTAGGGCTATGACAAGCAGCCAGTTGTGACAGAGTGGTAACTAACTGGTAGACCAGCGGAGCAATAACGTAATGCACAGCAGAGTCTAGGGCAGGTAGACTTAAATATTATGAATTCTCATTTAATGATGATGTTAGTCTCGTAATATTACGACTTTTCAGAGAACACAGATTTGTGGGAGAGATTCTGAATGTGCAGAATGTTTTGAACATAAACAGAAACTGCTGAGACACAGGCGCTATTAAAGTCCAGGAGTTTCTAACTGAATTAAAATGTATTTATTTATCATTGAGGTGACAAAGGTGCTACATGCATATTGAAAGAGGTTACTTCCCAAAAAAAGACACAAACAGGAGGGAAGACTGAATCACACCTGCATGTGTGCTGACTCAGCTGGGGTGATGTTAGATTTTGAATTGTTTCCCTTACATAAATCAAATATTCCGTAATATCATACAATTCAGCATTGAAGATTTCTTAAAATAGTATTAAAATCTCATCTCATGTACCCAATCTTGTGTGTCGTCTCTTGCATTAAGTGTCTCGTCACACCCCTACTATTTACACAACCTACGACTCATATGTAGCAACATTAGCTTCATTTGGTGTTGTTGATGTGTCTGGCCACCCGGCCACCAAGTCCAATATTGACCCCTTTTACCTCTGTTTTGGTCTCTACCAACTCTGGCTCTTAAGCAGCTAAATGCTTAGAAACGTGCTACCACTAAAGTCCTATATATGTATATATATATATGTGTATATATACATATATACTTTCATAATACCTGCCTTGGCTGAGGGAACATCATACATGTAGCTGCATTTAGTGTGCTTACCCACTCTGTATGTAATTCATGTGCCTTAATTCCATCACCAAATATATTGTATTTCATGTTCATAATAGCACACAGTCTTCACAGCTCACTTAAGCAATTTGAATAGTCAAATATATGTGCTAAGTATTTTAAGCTCTCTATTCTCTACTTGTTATTTTCACTGTTGTGAACAGGAAGCTAGTGGCAACCTTCCCCATTTCCCTGTTTATTAACCTTAAGTGTGTACCCCACTTCGATAAAAGCTTTATAGACAACACAAGTGTTGTTCGCTTCAAATGTAGAGGACGAAAGGACACGCAGAGGGATGACTAGATCTCCCACATGCACACGTATCCCTGCAGGCAATGTGTGTGTGTGTGTGTGTGTGTGTGTGTGACAGCATGCTGTACGTCATGC